TGGTCAGTGCTGGTCACTGTGACTGTTACTGCTCACCGTGACTGTCACTGCTCACCGTGGCTGTCACCGCTCACCGTGGCTGTCACCGCTCACTGTGGCTGTCACCGCTCACCGTGGCTGTCACCGCTCACCGTGACCATCACCAGTCATTGTGGCTGTCACTGCTCACCGTGACTGTCACCAGTCACTGTTGGTGTCACTGCTCACCGTGGCTGTCACCGCTCACCGTGACCGTCACCAGTCACCGTGGCCAGCACCGGTCACCCCTGTCTGTGTCCGTGTGTCCATCAGGGCGGGCTGGACACCGAGATCAAGGTGGTGGAGGACGACGGCCGCACCTTCTTCTACCAGATGTGGTACGACCAGGAGTACGCGCGCTTCGAGAGCCCGCCCGCGGCGCCCCCCTCCGACGACAACAAGTACAAGTCAGTTCCGGGGTGCAAAAAAAACCACCAAAAACACCCAAAATTTTGGGGCTTCTCCCCCAAATCGGGATTTTTTTTTGAGGGGGGATGTCGCCGTGTTTCCGTAGGTTCTGCATGAGCTGCGCTCGCCTGGACGAGGTGAGGCACAAGGAGATCCCCAAGGTGGCCGAGCCTTTGGAGGAGGCCGACGGTAAAATGTTCTACGCCGTGGCCACCAAGAACGGCGTCCAGTACCGCGTGGGCGACGGCGTTTACCTGCTGCCCGACGCCTTCTCCTTCAGGTGAGGCCTGGCCGTGGCACTGGGGCAGCTTTGGCACCTTTGGGGCTTTTTTTTGGGCTTTTTTGTCATTTTTTGGGGCATTTTTTGGGCTTTTTTGGCATTTTTTTGGGCATTTTTTGGGCTTTTTTGTCATTTTTTTGGGTATTTTTGGGGATTTTTGGGGCTTTTTTGGGCATTTGGGAGGCATTCTTTTAGCATTTTTTTGGGGTATTATTGGGCATCTTTGGGGCATTTTTTGGCATTTTTAGGGCTTTTCGGGGGGTTTTTTGGGCATTTTTGGGGCGTTTTTTGGCATTTTTAGGGCTTTTGGGGGGCATTTTTTAAGCGTTTTTTCGGGCATTTTTTGGCATTTTTAGGGCTTTTCGGGGGTATTTTTGGGCATTTTTTGGGCTTTTTTGGGGGCATTTTTTGGCATTTTTAGGGCTTTTTGGGGC